TCCTGCATTTTAAATAAACTCAGACCATAAGAAAAGAATATTTAAGTCTGTAAAGACATTTTATATTTCCATATTTTCAAAGCTCTGCTCCAAAAAACTTTCTTCTTTCCATTTCTAGTTTCTGGGTGAAGACAGGGTTTTGTTGTTGTTGTTTTATTTGTTAATCTTTGTTAGCTGAGGTTACTGATTCTCTTCCAGAGCATATTGCTGTCTGGTTTTTGAAGCTGTCACTCTGACCTTGCCCAGATCTGTGCTGGATAAAGTGATTAGGAAGTAATTGAGTTGCCCTGTCTGTTGAAGCCACTTAGGGTAGAAACAGATGTTGCCTTTCCTTGTCTTTGTATCACCATAAATATAGCACAAGAAACTCCATTTTCACCTGCATACAGAGATTCCCTCAGGTGTCTTGCTTTACACAGAGAAAGCTGTGTAGGAATTCCTTGGGCTTGAGGGGGCCCACTCCTGCACAGGAATTCCAGAAGAACATATAACCTGTTTGCCCCACAGCATCAATGGGCAGGACAACAGTCAAAGTGTGTTTCACCCAGTGAAATGGATCAGCTGTGCCAGAAGGCATCCTGGCACAGCTGATCCACTTCTTTTGATGATGTATATTTCTAGCCTTAGTATATCACAACATGCCTGTCTTATCCTTGTGATTTTGTAACCAATTCAGGGAGCAAGAGTGCCTCTGGTGTTGTAGAATTGATGTAGAAGCTTGAATGTTACTTCCCAAACAACTGCCATTGTAGCAGGGGATGTACCTGGCTGCTTCTATGCCATACTGATTCCCTGCTGTCTTTTTAACAGCTAGGGACCATCTGAAAATGGCATGCATTTGAATTGCCCTTTGCTTGTTCTAGCCTGGTAGAAGGATTGATTACTTGACTCCTGACTTGCTTTCTGCGTACATCAGTTACAGCTAAAAATCAGGCTCACAATTTTCATTGATTTATAAAGCAATCTATCAGTGAACTCACTAGGGCTGTAGTGTATGTAATTTCAAACCATTTTAAACAAGAAGTGGCAGGGGACTTGCTGGCCATAAGTGTGCATCAGCTGATCCCAAATATCTGTTACATCTGTCTGATCCTATACAGGTATAAAGTGGGCTGAGCTACTAACTTTAAACTTGAATATACAGTTATAGTGGCTTAACTCCATTTATAACAGTATGGCCATGTCCAGATGAGCATGAACGTTTGTTTCTCTGGGGGCAAGTAGCAGCAGTACACATTGTGCTGCTGCTACTTGTCCTTAAGGAAAACCTGTGCCATGCATGCTCTGGCACACAGCAGGTTACCCTAAGTGGGATAGGGGAGGCTGGGGCCAGCAACTGTGCTGGCCCCAAAATGCTTACCTGGGGGCCTTGGGGAGCCACAGCCATAGTGCTCCTGCAGCTGGCAGCCTGGCTGGCAGCTGGAGCTGGTCAGGCTCCAGTACTGGGTGGCATGTCCTGCAGCCATGTGCACTACCCTGCTTTTTTTTGGCATGGGTTTTTTTGACCTTGGGATCTCCTGGGGTCAATCCCCCCTTCCCTGCCCCCTGCACTGCAAGGCAGCAGTGCAGGGAATGCCTGCATTGTGCAGTGTGTGGTGCTGCAGATGGGTCTGCAGTGCTACATACCACACATCTGTGCTTGTTTGGATGCAGGCTATAGGAGCATACAAAGGAACAGATATATTTGATACTGGAACAGCTTACACTCATATAGTTTGTCTTTGGTATAACTGCTAAATTGGTCCACACTCTATATGATTAGTGCTTATACAGTGTGTTCAAAAGGCAGTTGACATTTTTCAGATTGCCATTATTTAGGGCATGCATTAAAATGATATCTGTAAAAAACATGTTCTTGACTGGTATTTTTGTTGCAGAGAGTCATATTCTGGGCTTTATTGGATTCTGTGCTTCTGTAGGATCTCATTGGATTAATTTCAGAATATTGTTTTGCCTGTACACTACAGAATGTGATAATGGCTGAACCATTGTTTTGCAAATTCATTATGGTTCAATAGATTTAGCTCTTTTCCTTACACATCACACAATATGCTGAATCACTTTAACTTCTCTCAGTAAGTATATTATGCTCTGTTTTTATGTGATTTTTTTAAAATTAAAAAACATTTTAAACACTTAATACTTTTGTCATCTTTTTTGTTCAGATGGTATTGCAGGAATCTGAACAGAAGCAAAGCAGAACAACTCCTTAGAAATGAGGTGAGTACTTACATTATTGGAACATGCATTTACCTAGCACAGAATTGGTAAATGCATTCACTCATAGTAGCTTCTTTTATTAATAAGATGATCATTTAATTTTGACTCAGAGATAACAGAGAGCACATCTGTGAAGAAATACAGTAAACTGCTTTAGGCATAACATCATTGTATTTGAATTTTAGGATAAAGAAGGTGGCTTTGTGGTGAGAGACTCAAGTCAGCCAGGACTGTATACTGTGTCCCTGTATACAAAATTTGGAGGGTAAGTTACAGTGGCAGTGGGCCATGCCCTCTTTTGTTTTAATTTGGTTTGCATAGATGCATGGACTGAAAGACTTCAACAAAGAAACAAAACCAGAATTTTAGAAAGTGAATGCTTAAGGTTGGTTCCCTTTTCAAAGTGTTGAACACTTATGATTTTTACTGGAGTTGGAAGTAAATTACATAGAACCTTCTTAAAATTCAGGTAACTTACTAGTTTAGACATGAATCTTCAAAGTTTTGGCTTAATTTTATGGGGTTTTTGGTCTTTAATGCACAATTTGCACATTGGGGGCAGTGCAAATGTGTCGACACCAAAAGGGTATCTGTCTATAATACCTCCTTGCCAAAGGCAGTGAGAAACAAACCCAACCCACTTGGCCCAATTCCCCCATTCTCAAATCTAGCATTAAGGCAGGGTAGACAGCTTAGAGGGGCCCTGAGCATGTCTTCCATCTACTCTAATTGTTGGGTTTGGGCACAGACAGAGCAGGAACAGATGAGTAAGGCCATGATCATAATCACATGGCTGTCTGCATTTGTTGTATGGGGCATACAGCAGAAGTATACCATTTGTTCCTAGTTATCCATCTTGCAAAGCTACATAAAGTATAATTTATGAAAGTTACTGGACAATATTTATCATCCAGTATATGAAACATTGTTTCATTTCTTATTTAACATGTACCTCTCATTGCATTTTAATTTTTGTTTCTTTAGAGAAGGTTCATCAGGAATAAGACACTACCATATAAAAGAAACAGCGATGTCACCGAAGCAGTACTACCTAGCAGAAAAACATCTTTTTGACTCCATTCCAGAGATAATTGAGTATCATAAACATAATGCAGCAGGTAAATATTTGGTTTGATTAAATTAAATGGAAGCTGGTTTGGATAGGAAAGGGATGCAGTTTTTAAATAGTTGCCCTCCTACTCCAAGTTTTTAAGGTTTGTTCTAAAATATGTGGAGTCATTGCTATATTCCTTCTATTGAGTTTTGACTGCTTTTTATATCTCCTATCAGCTTGCTTCCCAGTGGGTTAGATGCCTTGGCTATGGTTTAGAGCCTTGGCAGGCATTACGTTTATGGCAGAGGTGGCCAACCTGTGGCATAGGTGCCACACTTGGTATGGGCAGCTTCTGTGCATGTGGCATGTGGTATGTTGGGGAGGGAATGGGCAGCACAGTGGCAGATAGGGCAGGAAGTATAAGGCAGAGTATCAGATCTGGCAGGAAACAGAAAGCAGAGCAGCAGCTTGGTTGGGAACCAGAAAGCTGAGCAGTATATTGGGTAAGGGAAAAGGATTGAAGTGGCACTTGGGGAAGGTGTGGGGCTAATTTGTAGCACATCTGTCAAAAGGGTTGGCCCACACTGATATGTGACATGACTGGAGCTTCCTACTCCCCATCTGCATATACCACTTCAAACAGCCTTGCCTTGTTGCTTAAGCATGGGCTGCAGTGCAAAGCAGACAACCTGTCACATGGGGAAGCCCTGCCATCAGGATTGGGCAGGGAACAGCCTTGGGTTCCTGATGCAGGGCTTCCCATGCAGTGGCAGCTGGCAGTTGTATGATTGGGGTCTGAGGAATGTTATGCCCTATTCCCAAAATTGCATTACCTGCTGTATGTGTCTGTTATGGGAGGTCATGCCATTTTAGGAATGGGGAATAAAATTCCTTAGACCCCAATTAAATGATTGCTTTAAAGAATGGCAGGAACTATAGACACACATACAGGAAGCCAGAGAGGTACAGCAGATGTACACGCTCTTGCCATTGATACTGCTCACTGATTTCTTCAGCATAAGCCTGAAGGTTTTAGGTGATGCCTGTTAATAACCTATTCAGATGGCAGCTAGAATTTGTACACTGATGCCCAATGCACAACCCTTCTGCCAGCCTTAAGAGTGATTTAATTTAGGAAACTCAACACCAGCCATGTGGTACAAAAGGATCGTCCTGGCACCTGGGGTTAAGTTCCTGTGGCTGTGCAGCCAGAATCCACTTAATCATTAAGTGTGCACTTTGGTATCCGGCACAGTGCGTGGAAATGGAAGTAATTAAATGTTCTTCATTCGTTTCCAGACTGTGGTCATCCCCTCATAGATTCATAGATTCATAGATTGTAGAGTTGGAAGGGACCATAATGGATCATCGTGTCTGACCCCCTGCCCCTGGCAGGAAAGAGGACCGAGGTCAGATGACCCCAGCCAGGTGACTATCTAGCCTCCTCTTCTTGAAGACCTCCAAGCTAGGTGAAAGCACCACCTCTCTTGGAAGCCCATTCCAGATCCTGGCCACCCTTACTGTGAAAAATTTCTTCCTAATATCTAACCTAAATCCACTCTCAACTAGTTTACACCCGTTATTCCTAGTCACTCCCTGGGGTGCCTTAGTAAACAGCGCGTCACCTAGTCCCCGTTGACCTCCCCTAATAAATTTATAGGTGGTCACAAGATCTCCCCTCAGCCGTCTCTTGTGAAGGCTGAAGAGATTCAGCTCTCTCAGCTTCCCCCTGTAGGGTCTTTCCCAAAGGCCACTAATCATGCGAGTGGCCCTCCTCAGGACCCTCTCCAGATTCCCTGTGTCTCTCTTGAAGTGCGGCACCCAAAACTGGACACAGTACTCCGACTACAGCCTGACCAGTGCTGCATAGAGGGGGAGCATCACCTCCTTTGTTCTATTAGTCATGCACCTGCTAATGCACGACAAGATGCGATTGGCCTTGTTGATGGCCTCGTTACACTGCCGGCTCATGTTCATCTTGGAGTCAATTATGACTCCAAGATCCCTCT